TCCTCCTCCTTCTCCCTCCTTCTCTTCTTCCTCGTGCTCGCGCTCCCTCTGCCGGAGCCTGCAGGTACCTGAGCTGCGGTCTCGCGCGGTTTGACAGCAGCAGATGACGTAGTGGTCAGGTGATGCAGGTGAGCGCAGAGACAGATGAAATGACGCTTAAATAATATCTGCAGGCCGCTGTAGCTTGATGAGGCTCTAAAGGCTGAATGAGAAGCTGAAGGGTTCTGGAGGCTTCAGAACCTGAAGCATGTTCAGAGCCTGAGGCCGGTTCTCTTCTGCTGCTCACTCACACCACAGATGTCACTGAACCAGTTAGTGAAGTTCACCTGATGACCAGAACCAGCACAGCTGAACATGTTCACTGGTACCGCGGTGCAGACGTACAGTGGACTCTGCCAGGTGAGGCGGACAGGTGCGATCTCCTGAAGCCACACTGAGGAGCTGTGAGGAGGAGGAGCCGTGCACCTCCAGCGTCAGATCTCCATTCAGCTGCACAGCAAAGCTTCTCTTTGAAACAAACTCACAGAGCGCCAGCAGCGGTAACACATCCATCTCTTTATTGAGCTGTGGAGGAAACGGGTCAAACACACAGAAACTAATACAGGACAGTGAGGTTCTGCTCAGACTCAGACGCTGAAGCTGAACTCTCACGGATCAACGTACTGCAGCTACAGTGAGATGATGATGTCGTCTGCAGCAGGTGAGTCTGGATCCACCTGCTGCGTCTCTTAAAGCATGTTAGCGTGGATCAGATGCACTCAGAGAGCACTCGGGTTCCGGAAGTTGTGTCCAGCGAAGCGAGCCTGGTCCCCCAACTCCTCCTCAATCCTGAAGAAGGAAAATCAGAATGACTCGTGTGCTGTTGCTGAACTTCAGGGTTTCATATTTCTGCATGAAGTCACAAACAGAAGCAGTGACGTCACCTCATCAGCTGGTTGTATTTGGCCAAACGTTCAGATCGACATGGAGCTCCAGTTTTAATCTGCAGGAAGTNAGGTAACTTGCAGCCTGATAGTTAAGCAGCAGCCTGAAAGTTAAGCAGAAGCCTGCTGAAGAGGGGAGTAGGTTTAACTGCTGGTTAACCCGTCTGACCCGGTCATGTCAGTACAGTCCAGATGTGTGGAGGCTCTGGTTTTCATTCATCCCTGAGCACTAATGTCTCATGTATAGTGAATGAGGATATAAATAGTGCACGTGGCAGCAGGTCGTGCACGTTGGTCTGACTGTGTTTATTCACAGCTTCTGTAAATCTGACGGACCGCATTAATTATTACAGCTGCAGTGAGTCCAGCCAAACACCCATGTACAGTCCCTGACACACACACACACAACCAGACACACACAACCTGACACACACAACCTGACACACACACACACAACCAGACACACACACATACACAACCTGACACACACACAAACAGAAACACACACAGACACAAACAGACACACACACAACCAGACACACACACACACAACCAGACACACACACAACCTGACACACACACACACACAAACACACACACAACCAGACACACACACAACCAGACACACACACACACACAAACACACAACCTGACACACACACACACAACCTGACACACACACACACACACAACCTGAAACACACACACACACACAACCAGACACACACACACAAACAGACACACACACAACCAGACACACACACAGACACACACACACACACACACAATGCATGTCAGTTACAGGTGGCAGCTCCGGCCTGTAAACAGCAACACAGCAGCATCTGCACGCATCCCGACCAACAAACAGCCGCTGCATCAGATGCATGTTGTGCATCAGATGCAGCGGCTGCAGCGCCTCTGAGCTCCATCAGCGCTGCAGCTTCTTTCTTCTGTGCAGCAGCAGCAGCAGCAGCAGCAGCAGCAGCATGGATGCCTGAGCAGCGCTGCTGCATCTCAAGAGCAGGAATGTCGAACCGTGTCCGGTCCGCCGCTGCTCGCTGGAATGCGGCCGCGGTAACGTGCATTCACCGGGCACAACGGAGCCGGAACGCGCGGCTGCGGTGGTCGTTAACGCACAAAGGAACAAAATGGGAGGAGAGCTCGAACGTGGCCAGCAGCAGCAGCAGCAGCAGCAGCTCCCAGCACAGCGAGCATCCATTTTCTTCTTACCTACAGATCCAGCTCCGCCGCTCCGCCGCCCCGCTGCCCCGCTGACCGGCTCCGGTTCCGGCTTTATGCTGCGCGCCGACACGCAGCGTCCGTCCGCGGAGCGCCGAGCGGCCGCCTCATGTCCCACAATGAGCAGAGAGGCTCCGGTGCGGAGAAACACGGTGAACCGAACACTAGACTGATGCGTCCCTCCTCCCCACCCCCTTCCCCTCTCGGCCCCCCTCCCACTCACTCCCCCTCTTCACTCTTTCTACGCCCCGATCCGGTGCTCGGTCACGGCGGCGCGCAGCCGAGAGGGACGCACGGCGGGTGAGGAAGGAGAGAGGAGAGGCGTGATTAGCATAAGGAGAGAGGGGAGGCCCGCCACAGTCACCTTTACTGTACCGAGACACACCTGGACCTCAGAACCAGAACCAGACTCTGGTCCAGACTGGGGCTCCTCCGTCTTTGTGGTGAGCCGGAACCAGAACCAGCTTCTTTTCACTCAACAAAGGCGCCAGAAGGACCAGCGTCAGTCTGCAGGGTCCAGTCAAGCGGCTCCGCAGAACCTCCTCCCCCTC